AAAAAAAAAAAAAAAAAAAGCTGTTTTTAAAAAGTCCTGAGTTAATTTTACTCTTTTAAATCAGTCATTCAATTTCTGTGTAGAAAAGAGTTAACACAGCAGACCTGACTGCTATCCTTTGAAAGGCCTACTTACTTTTCTTACGAAAGTCTGGAATTTTAGTATGTGACTAGCCCCCAATAAAAACTCTAGGCTCACTTCCAACGAACTTCTCTGGTAGGCAACACTTCATATGTGCTGTCATAGCTTATTGCTGGGGGAACTGAGTGCACCCTGGGTGACTCCACTGGGCGAGGACTCTTGGAGGCCTGTGCCTGGTTTCCCCTGGACTTCACCTCATGTCCTCTTTCCCTTCGCTGATTTTGCTTTGCATCCTTTCATTGTAATAAATCACAGTCATCAGTATGACTATATGCTTAATTCTGTGAATCCTCTCAGCAAATCATCAAACCTGTGAGTGTTTTTAGAGGCCCCTCACACAATCTCACAAACATATAGTTAGCATCAAATATTTACACAGAACAAATACTCTAGTGAAAAAATAATACTTGGTATACAAGTATTTACAAAGTATTTGTAAGTATGAAATAAATATATGTCTGTCTCCCTAAATGGACTATGAACGAAAGAAATTTACCTCCTCAAGTATTTTAAACAAACAGCATAATACAAAAATAAATATTTCACCTCAAATAAGTGAGAATAAAGTATTCTATACTGATAAGAACCACAGACTTTGCATCTACCATTCACTGAGTGTCTGCTATGTGCTAATACTTGGCTAAATGCTTTATATCAGCTATCTAATTCTCACAAAAACCTTGCAGGTACATATGTATATCCCCGTTTTATAGATGAGATGTTGAAGCTCAAAGAATCTACCTAAGTTGCTCAAAGGCCAGAGAGGTAGTATAAGACAGAGACGGGATTCAAACGTAGGTTCATCTGACACTAAAGCTGTTCTATTTCCGCTATGACTCCAAGACAGTACAACACAAGAGGCTAACGAAGGAAAAGGTTACTTGAATTTCTCACTTAAATAACAGAAGTAATATGCAAATAGAGAGAAATTTAACACTTGTTTTTAATAATAACAAAAAGATTTAGTAATTTCACTAAAATCCATTCAATGTATCTATGATGAAAAATTTACTTTTACATATATTACTATTAGGTATTTAACTGAGCTAATCATAGTGAAAACTTACTATATCAGTCAGTTAAATGCAGTAAAAATAGAGAAAGATACTAACAAAAGCATTAACAATAAAGAAAATTCATAGTTTGAATTACTTACCATTCTTCTTTGATACTTTCAAGATTATCTACTTCTTTCATTCTTTTTTGCCTTACTGTAAAAGTAAAAAGGAAAAAAAGTTAAAGTTCTCAATTTAGTATTTTAAATAAATTCAATCTTATGTATGCATTAATATTCTTCAACATAAGTTATTGTGTAGCCCCAAAGTAGCACTAAGGGTCTTAAGAACAGGTGACCAAACTCAAAGCTATCATTTGCATCTACAAAGTAAAGCAATAATAAAAATTAAATTTTGTAGTCTGATAATCTTCTGACAAAAGAAAGATTTCTTAAAAATTAAGATAAAGAAATGATAATGTACCCTTTGGTTTAACAGTAGCCAAAAGTAAATGAAACATTTCACTCAATCTCCAATTAAGTAACAAAATATCAAATCTATATAAACTCATTTTTATAGTTCCTTGGGAAAGCAAACTGACAAGATGTATTTACATGTCATAGAAATATTCCTATCTTTTGACTCTGATTTTCCACATTTCTGAGAATTTAAAAGAACAACAAAGTAAGTTACATAGACAAAATATGTCCACCACACCCGTTATTTGTTAGGAAAAACTGCAAGTAAACTAAATGCTCAATAGTCATGGTATAGCTGCTTGATGGGATAATATGTAACCCTTAAAAATAATTATGAAGCAGGTAGGGGTAGAGTGAAAGGGGTAAACTGGTACACGTGTATAGTGACAGATAAAAACTAGACTATTGGTGGTGAACACGATGCAGTCTATACAGAAACAAATAAAATAATGTATACTTGAATTTACACAATGTTATAAGCCAATAAGACCTCATTTAAAAAAAACTAATACTGAAGCAATTCATGTAGCCAAATGGAAAAAGATATCACATAAGTGAAAAAAAACAGGAAACAAAAATCATTCATACACCAGGAATGCAATTGAATGCATATGAAAAAATGGAGGGAGGCTCAAAAGTGAAAATAGTTATTGTTGGGGGTAATAAAATGATGGATTATTTTCTCTCTTTCCCAAACTTTCTAAAATACTATTTTGTTGGGCCGGCCCTGTGGCTTGGTGGTTAAGTGCGTGCGCTGCGATGCTGGTGGCCCGGGTTCGGATCCCGGGTGCGCATCGAGGCACCACTTCTCCGTTCATCCTGAGGCCGAGTCCCGCATACAGCAACTAGAAGGATGTGCAGCTATGACATACAACTATCTACTGGGGCTTTGGGGGGAAAAAATAAAATAAATAAAATCTTTAAAAAAAAAAAAAATACTATTTTGCTATTATAACAAAAATATTTTAAGAAACAAGAAAATAAATCAAATAAATAGTTTAAAATAGTCAAAGCTATCTGTCCACTGAGAGGTCCTGGAAGCAATGACATACTAGAAACAAAAAGCAAACCAAGCGCCTAGATCTTGGTTTCTATATACAGTTTTCCAAAAAAATGGAACCATGCCTCCTTAGAGGAAAGGCTGATTCCAGTGCTGGGGCAGAGAAAGAATAAATGAGCCTGGAACATCTTGCTCCAGAAAGAAGGTGCTCAAAGAATGATGAAGACGTATCAAAAGCACACTGAAGTCACCCTAAAGGGGTGGACACTGGACAAATCTGGGAAACAGAACATCAAAATAAATAATGATACTAATGGAATATAACTCATTAAATAAACCAAAAAACCCATGAGTCTATAGAATTAGATCTAAAAAAATCAGGAAAAGATGGACTTTTAAATAAACTCGATAGGTGGAGCCACTGTAACCAAGATAAATTCCAAATATATCCAAGATTTAAAATTTAAAAATTAAACTTGAGGGGCCAGCCTCATGACATGTTGGTTAAGTTCTGTGTGCTCCACTTTGGCGGCCCGGGTTCGTGGGTTTGGATCCCGGGCGCAGATCTACACCACTCATCAGCCATGCTGCGGTGGTGACCCACATACAAAATAGAAGACAACTGGCACAGATGTTAGCTCAGGGCTAATCTTCCTCAGCAAAAAAAAAAAAAAGAAAAGAAAAGAAAAAGAAAGAAAGAAAGAAAAATTAAGCTTAAGGGTGATGTCAGTAAAATGACATAATAGCTATCTCCAAGCTCCTGACCCCACAGAAACATTAAAAAACAAGCAGAGGGCCGGCCCCGTGGCTTAGCGGTTAAGTGTGTGCGCTCCGCTGCTGGCGGCCCGGGTTCGGATCCCGGGCGCGCACCGACGCACCGCTTCTTTGGCCATGCTGAGGCCACGTCCCACATACAGCAACTAGAAGGATGTGCAACTATGACATGGGGCTTTGGGGAAAAAATAAATAAATAAAATTATAAAAAAACAAAACAAAACAAAAAACAAGCAGAAACTGTTAGAACCAATTTAGTGAGAACCCTAGAAAGCAGTCAAAAGGTTTACAGCAACCAAATACTGAATAAGAAAAATGCAACCCTGAAAACATTATGTTCAGTGAAATAAGCCTGACACAAAAGGACAAATATTGTATGATTCTACTTACAGGAAATATAAGGCAAATTCATAGAAACATAAAGTAGAACAGAGGTTACTAGGGACTAGGAGGAAAGAAGAATGGGGAGTTATTGCTTGATGGGTACAGAGTTTCTGTTTGGGAAGATGAAAAAGTCTTGGAAATGGATAGCGGTAATGGTTGCATAACATTGTGAATGTAATTAATGTCACTGAATTGTACACTTAAAAATGATTAAAATGGCAAATTTTATGTTATATATATTTTACCACAATAAAAAACTTTCAAAAATGCAAACCAATTAGTAAAAGGAAACATGGGGGGCTGGCCTGGTGGAGTAGTGGTTACGTTCTCACACTCTGATTCAGTGGCCCAGGGTTTGCAGGTTCGGGTCCCGGGCATGGACCTACATACTGCTCCATCAAGCCATCCTACGGCAGTGTCCCACATACAAAAAATAGAGGAAGATTGGCACAGATGTTAGCTCAGAGCCAATCTTCCTCACCAAAAAAAAAAAAAAAAAACACCATGGGTAAATTTCTTTATAACCTGGAAGAAAGGACAACTTTCCTATAACTCAAATCCAGAAGCAATAAAGGAAAAGACTGATACATTTAACTATACGAAAATTAAAAGTTTTTAAAAAACCAAACATCTACAAAGTAAAAAGACAAAAGACAAACTAAGAAAAATATATGGAACTGGCATTACAAATAAAAAACTAACACAGAGAAGAAAAAGGCCATCAACAGGCAACAGATATGAACAGAAACTTCTCAGAAAAGCAAATGGCCTTTAAATATATGAAAAGACGTCCAATCTCACTTATAATGAGGGAAATGGAATCAAATACTATACTATGATTCCAATTCTCATCTATCAGATTGGCAAAAACTCACAAGTCTTGCAACACATTTTGTTGCTGAGAATATGGAGAAACAGCCTCAGACATTTTTGGTGGGAATGCAAAATGTACAATTCCTAGGAAGGGGAATTTGGCAATACCCAGCCAAAATTATGTACGCATATGACAAAGATTCTCTCTTTGACCAAACTTGAGTCAGGCTTCTCTGAGGCATCTTCTCAGAGAGGCCTGACCTTGGGCTTCCACCTCTGTTCTTGTAGAGCCCAGTTTGAGCAAAACTCCTGTGAAATAGGTTTAGCCAGAATTGCCCCTTACCCTTGAAGTTTCTTCCAGTAATTTTCCATCCACCGACCTCCACCCTGCTCTTTGGCTATAAATCCCCACTCATCCATGTTACATTCAGAATTGAGACCAGTTCCACACTGAGGTCTCTTTTCCCCTACTGCAATAGTTCCTGAACAGAATTTGTTTTTAGCACTTTAATTACAGTCCAGCCCTGTTTTTTCTTTGACACATATATCCAGAAATCTCACATCTAAAAATCTATCCCAGTGATATTTAAGTAAAAATATAAAACAGTGAACACACAAGATTATTCACTGCAGTACTATTTCCAGCATTCATTGAAATAGCAAAAGCCTGCAGAAAAACCCAAATGTCCATCAATAAGGGACTTGTTAAATAAACTATGGTAAATCCACATAGTGGGACGCAGCAGTAAAAAAGAATTTTTATGGCTGCAGAGTGATCAATAGGATATATTGCTAAGTGAAAAAAGCAAGATGGAGAAAAATATGTATAATATACACTGTTTAAGAAAGAGGTGGACATGAATATATATATATATATATTTTTTTTTTATATTAGAAAAAAAGGAACGGCCGGCCCTGTGGCTTGGTGGTTAAGTGCGTGCGCTCCGCTGCTGGTGGCCCGGGTTTGGATCCCGGGCGTGCACCGAGGCACCGCTTCTCCGGCCATGCTGAGGCCGAGTCCCACATACAGCAACTAGAAGGATGTGCAGCTACGACATACAACTATCTACTGGGGCTTTGGGGGGTAAAAATCAATAAATAAAATCTTAAAAAAAAAAAAAAAAAAGAAAAAGGAAAAATAAGCCAAAAAAAAAATATGGTTACCTATAAGCTGGGAGAAAGAGGACAGGGTGGAGGAGGCAAGGATAGAAGCTGGATTTCTCTGAATATATCTTGTTTTTTAGATCAACTTTGGAACCATGTAAATATTTTACACACTTATAAAACAAAGTTAAATTTTAAAAAAAGAAATCCCTAAAAACTGAAAGTAAAAGTGAAACAAATTAACTGAACCGACTGTCAATTTGGTGGTAAAACCACACAAGGAGGAATTATTTCAAGTAACCTTAAAACACAGTAATTTTACAGTATATCTGAGTGGACTCTAAGGGGAAAAATACAGCTTCTAGTAATCACATTATTAGTAATAATATATTAGTATTGTTTTTATGAAACTATGGTATAAAGATAAAGCAGTGACTCTCAACTAAGAGGCAACTGTGCCCCTCAGAGGACATCTGGCAATGGCTGGAGGCATTTTTGGTTGTCACAACTGAGGGGAGGGTGCCACTGCTATCTAGTGGCAGAGATCAGGGACTCCGCTGAACATCCTACAACACACAGGACAGCCCCCACAAGAAAGAATTATTTTGCCCAAGATGTCAATACTGCTGAAGTTGAGAAACCCTAAGATAAAGCAAATAAAT